CTTAGGGTTTCTTCTTCAGGTGGTCCGAACGAAACCTCATCGTCCTCATGCCGCTTTAACGCCTTCCCAGCATCATCGGAAGGCGGTTCCTGCTTACAAACTCTAGAATTAGCTCAGGCAATACAAAAGATAGACTTAACAACAGACTACAAAGACAGATCTTCAAAAACACTAAGGGTCGTGTTCATTAAGAAACGAACACTATCCCACTTCTGACACCATTTTGTAAAGAACCTGTCTACAGCGCCATCTTTTAAACCAAGTAAGCCATGTTAATTGTTTCTCAAACTGTTGAGTATGAAACTCCCGACTTTGCAATCACAAAAGAGAAAATAGCCAACTGCTTCAAAAGAAACTTCACTTCTAGCCAAATGACCATGTGGGGATAGTAAAATCATATGATGCAATCCGTAATGGTGGGTGAATGCTGTGTGTTTATGTTTGTTGTTTAGATAAAAGTTAATTTGTGTTGGGGTGTAAGTCATCCCAGTGATGGTCCCTTTAATGTACACCAAAAACTAAACAACACCAGGATTTTACTAAATATATCTGTATACTACTGTTTATTAGAACGTTATAAAAATAGGTGTATAAAAATAACTATTCATGGCAAGAAGCCATGATGTCAAAATTGCGTAATACTGATACTGATTACCCTTAATTATATTGTATCTTTGGTTTACCTGCCTATATTAGAGTTTCAAAAATAAGTTTACCTGATAAATAATCGATAATCAACTTTCTATGTAGTTTAATAAATGTCATCATTATTACTAAATTTCCAAGAAGACAAAAATGTTCAATTAATGACTCTACAATGAGAATGCTACTGATGATTCAGTGAAACTTGCTAGGACAAACTAAAAGTTTAAATCCTGTATAAGTTTCAGAACCTTTCCAGCAATCATGATGTCTTTTAACTGTATAATTATATGTAAATGTCTTGTAATTGATTTTTGGAGGAAACCAAGTGTTTGGTTTGAAACACAATAAAATCTTGAATCTTGTTAATATAATACCTTACTTGAATCATATGTCTCTTTAGAACAGTCAAAGACTTATATTGGAACAGCTTAGTTTCTGCTATTTAACTAGTTTTGATTAAATGTGATAGTTGACTAGACTAAATTCTAAATTTCGCCTTTAGAACTTTATTGCCACAAAACTTGGCTTATAAGAAAAATGTAAAAGTCACTGGTTTCGCGGCACAGTTAAGGCAACGAATACTGTAATAAGTAGGTAAATCTTGCCAACTAATGAAAGTAAGCAAAGTAAAATGAATGGGGACAATTCAACCAACCAAGGTAAAATTGTTAAAATGTGTTACTGGACAACAAAGTTCACCAATGACCGGCAAAAATAGTACACTAAACTCTACTTTAAGATCTAACTATGTTTCTCTATGTAATGAAATATGGGGCTTTGATGCTCCCATAATAATGACTACCTATTTCAAGAATATATATGACATGTACACGAGGCACACATGGTTTGACTCCATGTGGCCTTCCTCCGTTTACCAAAACAACTACCAAAACAACAGTGATCCCTATCTGATTACCAAGAAGTGTATCAAGCCTAAAAATATAACATTGGGGACAAATAACAATAAACACCAACTTTTGTCCACGATGGATTAAATTGAAGTTCCACGTGGTAGCATGGTTTATCTCCATGTTTCTAGTAAAATTTATATGCCTTGGTCATGGTTCGACTCCATGATTATAACAAATCTTAAATGGTCATGGTTTATGTCCATGACAAAGGTACCTCTCAAAGTATTGAGCCAAATTAATAGTATAAAAATGACGAATTTTAAAATTATCAATAAAAACAGCCAATGTGATCGATGGAATTCAATTACACGTGGTTATCTACGCACGTGGCATCATGGTTTATCTCCATGGCTATGCTGAAATTCCGTTGCATTGGTCATGGTTTATCTCCATGAACCGTTCATGTGGGTCGATATGAACGCACTATACTACTGTCAACTTTAAATCATGTCTAATAATCGTAATAAATTGGGACCAACAATTAATTTACGCTGGGTATCTTAAAGATATTCCCTGAAAATATACCAACCAAAAAATTATGAAATAATTACCGCCAAAATGGCCGCCACGCAACCCACGTGGAATAAATCCTGTTCAATTAATAAGGTTGAAGATATCGTAATTAAGCTAATATCGTCAAATATATCAAACTATAAATACTGTCAATTGCCAAACATAAATTAGAGAAGTATCCCCAAAACTATTCGAAGAAAGCCTAGAACATTGATATTTAAATTCTGAACAATGGCGCACGTGTACCATTATGCATGGATAATCTTAAAAATAGTTATTCTTCCTTCAAAAGCTTTGCCTAAAGTGTGCTGCACATACACATATTGTATTTTTATTCATAACATGGAACTGTAACCATAAAATTGTGTGCAACAGCAAATATATCAACATTTAAAAATATCTTTAAAAATCTTAATCAATTACCTAGCGTGAATTAAAGTTCAAACACAAAAGTTAACAAATTTAAGGAAAAAATAAGGCAAAAATTGCTACCTGAGTTTTCCTTTCTTTCCGTTGGTCCATGTTGTCTTTAACAATGGACTACTTCCACGAATATAAGGTTATGTGTAAAATAAATTGTCAAACTATCGGGAGATATTTAAAAGAGCTGCACGTTTCTAGAGCCTGCAAGCAGAACAAATTGGTAACCTCGAACCAATTCTAATTTAAAAACTTACGTGGCTAACCTTGCATGGACTGTACATAAAACCCAAAAAAGGTTACAAAATCTATAAAAACATTATACAATAGGTTCAAAATACATATAAAAACAATTAAGGCATCATAGAGATGAAAAACATAAAAATATAAAATGGTGTTCAAGAGTAGTTTGCAACTTCCGGTATGGCCGCCATGGCACAGAAAAGTTTCAAAATTATTTCAATATCTGTAACTGGCGATAATAAATCAACAAGGACATATAAACATTCATAATATATATAACATACAATCGGAAGTTAAGACAATACGTCTCTGAGAATTCCAACAAATGTAAACAGCTATAAGGTGAGAAAAACTTAGAATAACCAAAATAATTTCTGAGATAAATTGCTGGATTTTTACATATTGTATGCGCTAAAACCCTCCACCTGGTTGCCTTGAAATATAGATGTGATATATATTTATGTTTTTATATGTATGTTGAACTGTTATACAGTTTTACGTACGGAACCTTTGTTGTGTTTCATACCTGGTTCTGGCCATGTTTTATGATAAGGCTTGGATTTTATTTTTTTAATGAAAGACCCTCATGTCTCACTCCTTTTCAACTGTACATGTATTTAAATAACTTCCATATATACAGGGTGGGCCAAAAATCACCCCTAGTCAATATTCCTGATAAATATTTGATAGGCTAATGAATCGATTAAAATTGGGGTGTTTTTAATCCCATGTCACAAAATTGGTTATATCTCAAGCCAGGGTTGTTGAAAATATTTCATTTAAATATAATTTTGTTGCAAATTAAATTATCTTTAAAATGATATATCATTGTTGGTGCTTTTGTTAAAAAATGAATATTAATCAGGAATATTGGCTAGGGGGTGTTTTTTTGGCCCACCTTGTATATGTGGTCATATTCTATATCTGATATCATTTTCCACATATTACTAATTAAGTGTGACCAGTAGGGAACATGGCCTTGGGAATGTTTTTGTAAAATCACTATACTTTGTATTATTACTGGCATCCGAATTTGACATCTCGTGTCACAAACCAGTTAATTTGTAAATAGCTCCTATTTAATGGTGGAAACCATGGATATCAATAATGAACAAAATAACTTAATTTATGATTTCAATGTTATTATATCAAACTTACGTATTTTTCAGCTTATTACCACGCAATAAAATGAATTCGAACATGACTGAATTCACGCCTTCTATTAACTGTGAACAAAATTTCACCCATCTTCGACTGGACAGAAAACAATATACTAGATTCTTAAACATGTTCTTCAGGTTAGTTAACAAATCACAAAACAATTTTCTTCTAATCACAACCTTTATTACTTAAAATCACAGAACCTTTGGAAACCTATCCAGATCGTTTTTTGCCTCTTATATCTCTGCTTTGACCAAATCTGCATTGAGACTTTCGCTAATGTTGTAATTTAATAATTTGGGGAAAACAACATTTTTTCGAAATAATACGACGCACCTGTATCATTCGTTCCAATCTCAAGTAATGAGATGCAATTAATTTGTAAATGGATTATATGTGATATATTCCAGGGAACATGTAAATATTCCTATACTGAACGAGATTAATAGTGATTAATTAATTCCGTGAAAGGCATTTATAAATGAGTTGGGATACTGGTAAAACAAATACAGGTAAAATGCAGTATTATTTTAGAATGTTCAAATTAAATGGCGATTCTTGGACTTTTGTCGAAGCTACTGTGCACAAACAGAAGTGTAATGATAAACAACAAATTGAAATTGAAATGAAAGAGAAGAATGAACACAATAATTCTTCCGTTCGGCTTTCGATTGGACAAGTGACTTGTATCTGTATAACCGTATAAGACAGGATAACTTCTTTGTATACCAAAATGCATGCATATATGAGATAATAGGAAGTTTTAACTTGCAATGTTTTTCACAACCTAAACGTGAACAGAAAATATTTAAGCGATGCATTTGTATGGGCGATTGGTCATCCGTAAAGGTTGGCGTTTCGATTTTATATGCAAGCTTAAACCCCCTAGTAATTCGATGGGGACTTCTAATAACGAAGTTGAAATTTTTATTTAAACTACTGTTCACAAGCGAGAAAGTAATGATGAACAGCAACTTAGAATTTAAATGATAGAGAAGAATGAAAACAAAAATGAGTCTTAATTTGTTCCTTCGATTAAACAGGTGATTGTACATACTGTGTCTTTTACGATATAGAATTACTTTATATGATAAATGAACAATAACGATGGCGCCTCCTTGTGAACTTTCTGACGATGAGGAAATTGTTTTTAAATCTGGAGTTCACCAACAGCAGAGTAATCATGAATATCAAATTGAAATTGAAATGAAAGAGAAGAATGAACTGAAAAATGATTCTTCTGTACCTTCGATTGAACAGGAAATTGCGTGTCAGAATGATGAATGTATCGAACCAGAATTAATCATGAATAGATGTATAAGAGATTCGAAAGAAATAGAGGATATAGTTCCACAGAAACTTGTGATTCAAGGAGATACATGTGAAAGTACAAACGTGAATTTGTTGGCTGAACAGAGAGAAGACTGCTATCAGTATACACAATCATTCAAAGCCCAGATAAGTTCTACCTTGGCTGGTTTCTCAAATACGACTTCGATACATGGACCAAAGAGAATACTGAAGGCGAGGGGTAGAACGTCAAGAGCTGGATGGACATTTGTGTTCATTGGCGTTGTGAGTCTTGCGGTGTATCTCATAGCAGGTGTGGTAGTAAAATATTATTCATATCCCATAGAGGATGGTATATCAATCAAAACGCAATCACTTGCCTTCCCATCTGTGACACTATGTCCTCTTATACCAAACGATGACTTCCTAGTAATGTCAGATTTAGAAGCTTATTGGCAATCAAATCAGGGAGATAAATATTTGCTTTATACTCTGAAAGCTTATAAGTATCTCATAGGAAAAGACAGGCTTGTTTCCGATATTCGAACAGACTTTCCGAAAAACGAATCTAGTTTTTCAAATGCTTTAATTCAAAGCTGGTTGGATTTGTCTTCCTGGCTTTCTGAGAAACTAAGCCCAGTGTCTCGATGGCAAGTGGAGAACTTTCCCTTAAATGACATCAATATCAATGTCAGTGAGATTGGGCCAACTAAAGGACTGTCATCAGATGATATCAATGTTGCAGGTATGGATCCTGTCAAGGAACAGGACTTTATCTTGGAATGTGTGTATAATGACAAGCCGTGTGATGAACAATTTAATGTCACAAAAGTAACGACTGCTTACGGACAATGTTTCACACTGAATATCAGTGAATCAGCCGAAGATGTCAATGAGATTGGCCCAAATAAAGGACTGACATTAATACTGTACACAGGGCGGTATAACCCTATACCTATTAGACCAAACTTCTACATGCCAACAATGGGCTTTTCATCTACATATGCCCAGCCTAGTGATGGTGTGCAAATAGTCGTTCACAACCCGGGGACAATGCCGCAACCTTACAGAGAAGGTTTTCATGTCACACCTGGCAGATTGACCTCAGTGAAAATTACCAAAACTGAACGTACACGATTAGTGCCGCCATATGGTGATTGCACTGATAAAGACTATTTAGTGAATTCTGAATTTAGATACTCATATGAGATGTGCGTGGAGCAGTGCTTACAGGAGAGAATCATACAAAAATGCGGCTGTGTATCACCAATGTACATTATTCCCGCGGATCACAATTTCAGTTTGATACAATACTGTGGAAACATATCCAAAATATTTGGATTTTCCGAAAATAAGAATTGCATCCATTCAAATAGTTGGATGACCAGAGGAAGCATGTGTTTGTATGGAACACCTCAGTTGAGACTACGCATGATCAACCTTGCAAATGACATAATCGATAGACTAAAATGTGAACAATATTGGTCAAAATCTAGCATACAATCTTGTAAATGCAGAAGGCCCTGCAAGGAAAACACATACATACATCTCATCAACACAATCCCCTGGCCAGAGAAGAGTGTCGTTAGCAACGATGGACAAAGGGGGTTCCTAAAATTCCGACAGAAGCACAAAAATATTGATAAAACATTTAAACTATTTGAACGGGAATTAAGGCTGTATACGTACCTTTGGGATCATCAATTTGAGGTGTTCGAAGATTGTTTCGACCATAACATTACTGACGGACATAAACAATACAATATAAATTCACTGATTGAAAATATAGTTGATACTAACTTCTTAAAATTGAACATTCATATTGAATCTCTGGATGTAAGAACAGTGTACGAGGAAAGAACCTACACATATGACAACGTAATGAAGGACATAGGTAATGTGTTTGGCTTTTACCTCGGTATGTCTGCAGTTTCTGTTGTAGAAGGTGTGTATATAATTGGCGTCCTGATCAAACTGATAATATACAGAATGATGTGTCGACGCAATTGATTCGTCAGCAATTTTCTGTATTCTAAAATAATAGAATGCACCAATTTTATGTATCCACATGAATTAATTTACACGTGAAAAGAGCATCGAGAGTCATTTTATAGTATGTTTATTAGGAGGCCCTTCCAAGGGGCCTCCTATAGTTTTTGTAGTTATTCTTCTTATTATTCTTTTTAGCACTTTTTCTCCTACTTCTAGCTAGGTCTGAATTAACTCTTATATGCTCCTACTAGGGGCATGAGCTGGACTTGTCGGGAAATTAGTTCATATCTAGGTCAAGGTCAAAGGTCAAAATCTAGGTCAAATCTAAGTTTTTTTTAAGTTTCTCAACGCCTGACACTAGACTTCAACATTTTTGGCTGATTTTTTGCATAGAGATAGATATTAGTATTCTATTAGTGTTAGCCTTTTGCCGTCTTGACGAATTTTGCCTACATTTTGAGATATTTGACGTCAAAAAACGGTCAAAAAAGGTCATTTTTCAACTTGCTTCAATTTGACCAATTTTTTTTTTAAAAAGCATCTACAAAGTCTCAGGAGTTCAAATCTGACCTCAGATTTGACCTTTGACCTTTAGTTGACCTTCTGTGACCTTCGAAAGGTCAAAAAAGTTGATTTTTCAAATTGATTTTTTGGATTCAAATTTAGGTCAGCTTAATCACAAAGGACATACTGAGCTCTGAAAAAGTAAAATTTTCAAGGTCAAAGGTCAAGCTCATCAAATTAGATAACAAACTGTGCTATCTAAGTTTCTCAAAATTGGAGACTACAAATCAATATTTTTGGTTGAAAGTCAGGATATATATTCATCTAGAGGTACTACACATATTAGCAATTGACTATCTATTAAAATTTTTCACCAGTTTTGAGATATAAGAGCTCAAGAACTGAAAAAAGGTCAAATTTCGAAAATTTTGAAGGTCAAATTTTAACTTGCTTCAAATTGACCAATTTTTTTTTTAAAAAGCATCTACAAAGTCTCAGGAGTTCAAATCTGACCTCAGATTTGACCTTTGACCTTTAGTTGACCTTCTGTGACCTTCGAAATGTCAAAAAAGTTGATTTTTCAAATTGATTTTTTGGATTCAAATTTAGGTCAGCTTAATCACAAAGGACATACTGAGCTCTGAAAAAGTAAAATTTTCAAGGTCAAAGGTCAAGGTCATCAAATTAGATAACAAACTGTGCTATCTAAGTTTCTCAAAATTGGAGACTACAAATCAATATTTTTGGTTGAAAGTCAGGATATATATCCATCTAGAGGTACTACACATATTAGCAATTGACTGTCTATTAAAATTTTGCACCAGTTTTGAGATATAAGAGCTCAAGAACTGAAAAAAGGTCAAATTTCGAAAATTTTGAAGGTCAAATTTTAACTTGCTTCAAATTGACCAATTTTTTTTAAAAAAGCATCCACAAAGTCTCAGGAGTTCAAATTTGACGTCAGATTTGACCTTTGACCTTTACTTGACCTTCTTTGACCTTCGAAAGGTCAAAAATGTTGATTTTTCAAATTGATTTTTTGGATTCAAATTTAGGTCAGCTCAATCACAAAGGACATACTGAGCTCTGAAAAAGTACAATTTTTAAGGTCAAAGGTCAAGGTCATCAAATTAGGTCACAAACTGTGCTATCTAAGTTTCTCAGAATTCAAGACTACAAATCAATATTTTTGGTTGAAAGTCAGGATATATATTCCTCTAGAGGTACTTCACATATTAGGAATTGACTATCTATTAAAATTTTGCACCAGTTTTGAAATATAAGAGCTTAAGGACTGAAAAAGGTCAAATTTAGAAAATTTTCAAGGTCAAATTTCAACTTACTTCAAATTGACCAATTTTTTTTTTAAAAAGCGTCTACAAAGTCTCAGGAGTTCAAATCTGACCTCAAATTTGGCCTTTGACCTTTAGTTGACCTTCTGTGACCTTCGAAAGGTAAAAAAAGTTGATTTTTCAAATTGACTTTTTGGATTCAAATTTAAGTCAGCTTAATCACAAAAGACATACTGAGCTCTGAAAAGTAAAATTTTCAAGGTCAAAGGTCAAGGTCATCAAATTAGGTGACAAACTGTGGTATCTACGGGGCCTCCGTAAGATTGCTTGCAATCTTAGATCGTTAGATCTCTAGTTATTTAAGAAATATAGACCAAAGAGCAGGGTTTCTAGTTTCAATGGTTATTAATCTCGAATATAACCCAGCTCTACCAGCTTGCTTGAGTATGTGAAGTTCTATACTATGGCCTCCTGGGAAACAGTACATTGTAATGCCTCCCTTGTATCACACAGCTTGTATTTTGCACTTTGTGAATCCACATATTTATATATGAGGGGGAGGGGTACCTTATGATGTGAACCATTAGTCTGTTTGTTCATTTCATGTATGAATTACATTTCTCTAAAAAAAACTTTACTGGAAAAGTGGTGCATTAGTTTTAATTTTCTACTGTGGAAACAGGGAACATTGTTTATGATCAGTGTTATTCAGACTTCAACAGAGGGAAATGAAATCTGTTTTGCTCAACATGAAAGGGGTTGGGAAAGGAGGTTTTCTACTTTGTGTTTAAAATTTTTTTCACTCATCAGTTGAGAATCTTTTAAAAGTATTTTGCTTGGAATTTTCTCCAAGTGTGAGTTGTGTTTTGCTCTACATTTTTTTCAAGCATTGCAGAAAGAAATGAAAGCTGTTAAAATGAATAACAAAAATATGTGTGCTTTTGGTGTATTCAAATGGTGTGGAATTTTGGTATATTTTTATAGGAGATCTATAAGGCTTGGTGTTGGCTAAATGCCAGCAGTAGTACTAATTTGGAGGGCAATTATTGGAATCTTTAATAACACTTTGCATTTATCTAGGAATTTTGATACTGAAATGAAATGCCATACCCTCTTCAGTAAGCAACAAAAGACATGGCTGGTAGTAATGTTGATATTATTTTTATTAATGCTTCTAATTAGCTCTTTTGGAGATGTACATTTCTCATTTATGTTGAATGCTATAATGTTCTTATTAGTGCTATCATATCAAAGTATGATCATTTTAATTGTCTACTATTGCATCGGTTATATTTCTTTTACATCAAATACGTCATACTTCAAGATTTTAATTAGAATATTTAAATTGCTTTCAATATTGCTGATATTTCATGGCTCACCTTTACTCGATTGCTTATATGATTGCTCTCAATTATTATATTTATCTGGTGACATTGAAAAAAATCCAGGTCCTATATCAGAATTACCCATATTATTTTCTAATATTAATAGTCTCAAAGCAAATAGTTTAGCACGTTTTGAAGCACTAAAGTTCAAAGTAAAAGAGCAACAAATTAAAGTTATTGCTCTATGTGAGGTGGGAAATTTGACAAATAGTGACATACAAAAAGATCTTAAAATTGACAATTTTGAACTTAAACATTATAGATCAAATAATCGAGGTCTTATATTATATGTTCATAATTCATTAGAAGCTGAAATAATTCATGAACTAATGAATGATACACTAGGAAATATTTGGTTAAATCTTAAAGTAAGTGGTAAACTATTCAATTATGGAGTATTTTATAGATCACCTTCACAAGATAAAATAAATAGACTAGACTATTTCAAATTACTTGGTAAAAACCTTGAGGATGCTCAGAAACTTCCTGGATCAACTGTAGTAAATGGAGATTTTAATGCACGTAATTCTTTTTGGTGGAAAGATGATAAAGTTGATGAAGCAGGGACTAACTTGCACAACATCTTATTTGATCTTAATTTTATACAACTTATAGATGAACCAACAAGAGTGCAGTCTCGTAACAACTTTATTACTAAATCATGTATAGACTTGTCTTTTACAGATAATATTAATATAATTTCTAATCATAAAGTTCTACCACCAGTAGGAAATACTGATCATTGCACTTTGTTAACATACCTAAAAATGAACATTATTAAAGAAACTCCAACCAAGAAAATCATTTGGCAATATGATAAACTTAATAAAACAATATTGAATCAAAGAATACTTAATTCAAACTGGGGAGAGATCTTAGAACTTCAAAATGTTCATATTTCCACTCATAGGTTTGTTGATACTTTGTTCAACATTTTTAAGGAAACAATTCCGCATAAAGAGGTTTTAATAAAAGAAAATGATCAGCCTTGGTTCAATTCTGATATAAAGAAGCAAATTAATAAACGAGATAGACTTCACCATAAATTTAAACATTCAAATGATTTAACCTTTCTTCAAAAATACAAAGAACAAAGCTTATGTGTTGTAAATATGATAAATGAAGCTAAGCGTAAACATATAGAATCAACATGTGGAACTTTATCAGATTTAAATAGAAACTCAACAGATTACTGGATACTTTTGAAGAAGCTACTTGGAAAGTCATTTAATGTGTCACTGCCTTATTTACATTTAGATAATCCTAAACTATCTGCGGGATCTTCTTCTGAGAAAGCTGAACTTTTTCTTAAATATTTTATTCAGAAGAACAATGTAGATCAAATACACGAACCATTACCAAATTTTCCTTTAAGGTGTAATCTAAACTTGGAAGATATTTTTACTGATAAGAATGAGGTCTTAAAACTACTTCAACAACTTGATGCATCAAAGGGGGAGGGGACAGATAAAATAAATAATAGAATGCTAATTTTATCAGCTGATACGATATGTGAACCATTGAGTTTGCTTTTTAACAAAATTTTTACATCTCATTGTTTCCCGAAGATTTGGAAAGAGGGTATTATTGTTCCACTACACAAGAAAGGAGATAGATCTAAAGTTGTCAATTATAGACCAGTCACATTGTTAAATGCCTTATCTAAAGTTCTGGAAAAGATTATTTATGATAGAATTTTCAATCACATGATCCAAAATAACCTCTTTTACAGTTTTCAGTCAGGATTTCTTCCTAAGCATAATACCACTTCCCAACTTTCATATATAATTCATTGCATTCAAGAAGAATTGAATAATGGAAACAATGTAAGAACTATCTTTCTTGATTTAGCGTCCGCTTTTGACGTCGTTCCGCATCAATTACTATTACAAAAGATGAGATCTTATGGCATCAACAATAATCTCTTACTTTTAATGAATTCATATCTGTCACAAAGACAAGTGAAGGTTAAAGTAAATAATTCTTTCTCGAAATGGTCAGAACCTGATTTTATCAATGCTGGTGTGCCTCAAGGCAGTGTATTAGGGCCGCTTATGTTTTTAATATATATAAATGATCTACCTGATAATCTAAATTGTAAGACTTTCATTTATGCAGATGATACATCAATCTTCCTTCCTTACTCTAAGAAAAGCCCTTTACTCTCTCAAAATCTGCAAATTGACCTAAATACAATTAAAACCTGGGCTGATACCTGGCAAATGAAATTTAAGGCATCAAAAAGTGCTGACCTGACTTTTACATCACCTTTAACTAACCCTGTTAATGAACCTATACTCTATTTGGGAGGTGACCCCATTCCTAAAACTATTAGTCATAAACACCTTGGTGTTATTTTAGATCAAAAGCTTAATTTCAAGGAACATGTTAATGAGCTCACCAAGGAATTACAGACAATCTTAAATCCATTTAAACAATTAACTCACATTCTTCGTTCGAATCATTTGGAAACCATATATAATTCTTTTATTCTAAGTAAAATTGATTATGCTGATATAATTTACAATAGTGCTCCAAATATAGCTACCAGCAAACTTGAAAGACTGCATTATAATGCAGCTTGTCTAATTTCCGGTGCTCTGCATGGTTCAAGCACCTATAAGGTCTTGAAGACATTAAATTGGATTACTTTGTCTGAGAGAAGAAGAAGCCATCTTTGCTCATTTCTATTTAAAAGTAGAATCAATTTATCAGCTTCATATGTCACTGAATTATTTAATAAATACTTACATGAACCAAATAGAATTCTAAGGGCTGTCAGAGAGTATATTGTGCCTCTAAATATCAGCATTTCATTTAGAAAATCTACATATTTTGCTGCGATTGAAGAATGGAATGGTCTGCCTAATGATTTAAGAAATTGCAATAGAATATCAACTTTTAAAGGCAAACTTAGAAAGCATTTCGGGAATGAAAAATGTATAAATATAATAGCATCACTTGATATCACTAGAAAAACTGAAATTATATTTAACAGGTTAAAAGTGGACCTATTTCTAAAAAGTCAATTATTTGCTCATCACTTTACAAACATTGACTCACCAGCCTGTAACTGTGGTCATGAAAATGAAACCCCTACTCATTTTTTCCTCAAATGCCCCCAATTTGTAAATGATAGAATCCAACTACTTATAGATCTCCATATTATTGGTTGTTTAGAAAAATTCTTAGATGCTAACTCTGTTAGCAAAGTAAATATGCTCTTGCATGGTAACAGTGAACTTAGTAATGAAGATAATACACTTCTGCTGAAAGCAACTTTAAAATTCCTACAAGCAACCAAGATTGACTAACATGTATATTTCACCATCCCATAATTTACACCACTGCACACCTTTTTTTGTAAAGCATTCCAATATCAGCTTTAATTGTACTTTTTCCTTTTTGTTTATATATGAATAGTTACGAATAATTGTAACAAATTTGTATTGCATATAAGTGTATGGTATATTTACTTCGAAGTTCAACACAAATGTTAAATTGATTAACCTTGTTGAATTTTCATTGTATGAAATTAAATGTTATAATATATGAACTTGAAATAAAAATGATTAATAAAAAAAAAAAGCATTGACTTTGATTACAGTTTATAGAAGGCGTGAATACAGTCATGTTCGAATTAAGAAATATAGACCAAAGAGCAGGGTTTCTAGTTTCGAATAACACCCAGCTGGTCTCGGCACAAACGTTTTCTGTACCCCGAACGACCGAAGCAGTAACCCTGCTCTGGGGTCTATATTACGATTCGAACATGAAAACTCACCAAATTGTTTCGAATATTCATCATGGTCCGCCATTACTACGACCCACCGTTATGACGTCACACATTACACGTATTAACTGGGTTATTAATCTCGAATATAACCCAGCTGAAGCATTGACTTTGATTACAGTTTATAGAAGGCGTGAATACAGTCATGTTCGAATCCCGGATAACGTGTTACTTATAAAGTGTTTGATTACGTCATCATTTATTGTGCAGCTACGTCCATAAGAAGAGGGGGATTAACACCAGAGTTCAAAGATGACATACGCTTATAGTGTAAACCTGTATTGAGATGAAATTCACCTCTGATTGGTCCAAATAGATAAACAAAAATGGCGGATTCAAAATTTTCTAATAACGCTTCGAATAATATTATGTTGATTCCTGACTTATTAACCAATATCATAGCTTGGTTTTTCACATCAAGATAAAGAAATATGTAAGGAATATCTTTACATCGATTAAAACATCACGACGACGCGCTATGTTCGAAAATAGCATAGTTTCCATATAGCTTTTGAAATCTCGCTAAATCTCGTTTTTCGTGAGATTTTAAGAGACTTGCATATTAGACCTCTTATGACTTACATTACCTTCTTTTAAATGGTATATTTGAATTCAGTGAAATGTTTTCTCCTAAAATAGCTTTGATTTACACAGTTATGTAATTTGAATAATTTTCTATGACAATTTAAAAAAATTTGGGCCAAATGTCCACAAATGCAATGCTAAAATTCTTTAAAACCGTGGATTATTTGTATGTCAATCAACATTTGCATGTTTAATCACAACATGTACATAAACAGGGTCACCATGTGGTATATCATTCAAGTTTTATACTGATACAACAAACACACTTTGATAAATCATGAAATTAAGCCACTTTTCCAAGATTTTAGCATGTAAGTGAATGGAGCGCTAGCCCAAGTTAAAAGCTGAATAACTGGTGAGAATTTGCGCAAACGAAGGTGGTACGCAAGAGACGTATTATGTCAGTCATCGCTAAAGCTCTGGGGCTTCCCACCCCCTTGTTCATAAGTGTGATATTCTGGTGCCTATTCTATATTGGATATTCTTATGTATAGACGACGGTGTATAAGAATCACACGACGAGTGGAGCTGCGCAATAAATGATGACGTAATCAAACGCTCAATATTTTTAAAAGTTATACGTTATACGGGAATAATAAACTTGTTATTAGTTAGTTGCAAAATCTCACAATTACTTTATGTTCAAATTCATTACTCAGAGTATTAAATTTCAGATTTAAAAGCTATGTAATAATTGTATTTTCTTTGCTTGTGCGGCAAGCTGACTTTTAGCTAGAGAGCAGGAGAGTTTTGTGAAAAAAGTATACCTAGATATTTATAATATGATATTTCTTCTATTTTTGCATATGTCGCTTAAGAACAATTTAATAAGGTTAGATAAAATTGGATTTTTATTCAAAATTTGTATCATATTTGTACATCATGTCGATATATTGACATGCATGTGTTGATAATCCAAGGTAAATCTCTAGACGTTTCTCTTGGAAGATATTTCATTTGAGGGTAGATATTTTGTAAACGATCTAATGACATTGGCTTAGAATTTCGCAAAATATATTTTAAAGCTGCTCGATCTTGGACGAATTAAACCATCCAATTCAATGACTAAATCAGTCATTTTTCTACAGTAATTTTGTTGGAGGACACATTTATTTCTGTTTTAAAAGAAGGAGAGGGAACGTCTTTATTCGAAAAAAACTTCAGCATGATATTCAATGTAGTCTAATGACATTGGCTTAGAATTATAATTTCGCAAAATATATTTTAAAGCTGCTCGATCTTGGACGAATTAAACCATCCAATGCAATGACTAAATCAGTCATTTTTCTACAGTAATTTTGTTGGAGGACACAAATCTACACGCCTTCGCTGTTTTATTTGTTTGACCTCTTTTCTTACTTAAAAAAATAAATAATTTCTTTGGAAAAAATGAATCTGGTAGGACTCTAATCAGATATTGATGTTTCTAAATATTTCTTCTATAATAAAACAAAGAAGAGATCTATACATTTGAAGTAATAATCATCTTTATTTCTATTTATACTTTTTCAGATGTTTATGCCTTCGTGTGAATATTGTAAAACGTTACGATTTATTGTACATTGTACCTTTAGAGAGTGTAATATTAAAAAGCATGTCATACTGTACTTTGTGCTACCATCAATAAAGATTGAAAATATAGCACAAAGTTGCACAAAATATCAGCAATTCGGCGATATGTTCGGTTCGGTGTCTTACAAAAAGCGAACAAATTCACGCACTTGCTCCCTTCAATAGGGTGTCTCAAAAATGTTCCCAAAAGTATTTCAAAACTAACCAATCAATATTTTTAGACATTTTTGCATGGTTATGTAGCCAAAGCAAGTTTTCTCCCTTATACACAGTTTTAAGTTTGGTCTTCCCATTTTATGCTTTAATGTTTTTTTTATTTGGAAAATTCTCTTCGGATGTTCGCCTCAAGTTTTTTAGGTCTCTTGGCTTGGTATATTAGCATAAAAACGGTCCTTCAAATAGCTGCAGTAGAATTCCTAGTTTCCTGAGCCTCTGATCTCTCCGTAAGAAGACATTGAGTAGCATCCCTATTCGCCTCAAGTTTTTTAGGTCTCCTGGCTTGGTATATTAGCATAAAAACGGTCCTTCAAATAGCTGCAGTAGAATTCCTAGTTTCCTGAGCCTCTGATCTCTCCGTAAGAAGACATTGAGTAGCATCCCTATTCGCCTCAAGTTTTTTAGGTCTCTTGGCTTGGTATATTAGCATAAAAACGGTCCTTCAAATGGCTGCAGTAGAATTCCTAGTTTCCCGAGCCTCTGATCTCTCCGTAAGAAGACATTGAGTAGCATCCCTATTCACAAACGTTGACGCCTTTCTCAGGGGCTATTTGCTATGGTGGGTCCATAGTTTCACGTGGAGGACTCTTAGTACATGTTTCGAGCTACATTTCCACACGGGGCTCCTATTTCATCTGGGCATTCACATTTTTACACGCATATTAAAATTTCTTTGCATCGGTATTCACATTTCTCAAGATTTACGTGATATTGCACATTCACACATAGATTCACTGATTCAATCATAATTTTCATGACGATTTTCGTTCACATTGGGATTCATTTCTTCAGTTGTGAAATAATAAGTAATCCACCGATGTATGAACATTTGCAGAAGTAAATTGTGTTGCGGTTGCCCCTCTTCTCATCTAACGAGGTTTCAGAATTTTAATTAGTCTTTCACTTTCAGAATATTCAACTTTCGCCAGTTACAAAATTCTCATTTATTGCTTCCTCAAACGAAATCAACTGCGTTTTCCACAGTTTTTGATAACTAGACACCATCCCTAACTTATAATTTGACCACAATACTCCTGTTTTCATAAATCCTTTTTATCCAAATGAAGGTTCACGTTTTAGCATCCTGACAATAGAACTACCATTACTCCATATATGGCATTCACTCTAAAGACTCTTCCGTCTCAAAATGATCGTTTTCCGATTTTCTTATTCTATACTCAGCTACAACATAAAACAAGATGGCGACAACCAAGAGAGTGATAATTATGTACAGTTTGACAGCGACGCACATGACAGCACTGAGGAAGAACGCTATTGATGCCCCGAGTCCTTGGAGCATTCGAAAGTTCGAGAAGGCGACCTCGTGATCATCTGGGCACGCTACGTGAACTAAACCTACAAAATGGAAGATGCATAAATCTGAGTGGAAATGACAGGGTTATTACCAATCGTTAGATAAGAAACAAGATAGAAGTTTTTATTTGACATTAGAGTGTAACTCTAAGTAGAAAAACACAAACATAATTACTCAGAGGCGAAATTAATGTATCGGATACGCAAAATAGTCCCAGAAGGTAGTACCTACACTATAATATATTACTACTTACTATTACATTGCGTCTGCCACACGGCGTCACACATACCCCAGAAAGCTGACATCAGAAACACAACTGGCGTGACGCCTTTATCAGGCACCCATATCAGCAGGAAAACCATGAGACCGATATGTAATATTCCACCTAAAATGTTAAGTCAAATATGTTACTAAAGAGAATGAGCAGAGGGCATGCTTTGTACATTTTTTGGCGACGTGTGGCATATCTAGAGGTTCTTGCATAAGTGTAAGTTCAAGATTAAATTAAAGGAACTTTATTCTTTCATTTATATTACGTCAAAATATATATTTCACAAAATGTATAACTGTTGTTTATAAACTGGCGAGGTCATAAATGATTTCATTTAAGACATACTACAAAAGCCCAAATTTTCGCTGACAAAAAATTCACTATTTTCAATCTGAAATGTATCATAGGCATTGAATTTCAATATTTGAAGAAATATCCAAATGAATTCAATCCTAAATCAATTATCCACTATGCCTTTAATTTCACAGTCTAGCTTCTTGGCGAAAATAGTGGAAATTAGGACACTTTCAAAATTTGGACTTTTACAGTATGACGTTTTTATATGAAATATATCTGTATCTTAATGTAAGAGACTTGGCTGAATTTGAAGTAATCATATGGAAAATTATTTTTCAATTGACTTACCCAATCCTATTATTACTTCACGAGGGATATGCTTGGCAACGAACCCGATAAGTATGGAGCTGGCGATGTTGGCTAAACCTAGCATGATCATGCAGTATCCGATGTATTCAATACCCAAACTGCATGTAATGTAACTCTGGAAGATTTACAAGAGATGTTTCATCTAGTTATCTAATAATCTTTATCTCAAAATGTGTCTGAATTACTCTGTAACTTTGTGAAATGGATAGCACAACATTAAACCCCTGAAATACATTATTTGTATGGCGTTCGGTCCATGCATCTTTAAACAGAAAAATGAATTCAGACTGCAGGTTAAATTTGAAATTGCTTCTGTTGCAGCTATGATTGTAACAGCTTTCAAAGGGCTGTGTTACTATATCAAAAGTCCCCTCCCTTTCCCGATGCCTAGGTCACATTTGCTCCGATTCATTGGCCGGCTCCCGACCGATTGTTGTATTTTGTTCAGAACTGATTTCAACTTGCTTCAAATTGAACAAACCTTTTTTGTAAAGCATGTACAAGTTCAAGGAGTTCAAATCTGACCTCAAATTTGAGAGTTGATATTCAATTTAGAACAAAATACTCAATCGGCCGGGCGCCGGCCTATGAATCGGAGCAAATGTGATTAATGCATTAGCAAACTATACCACAAATCTATTTTATATATTTAAGCTCTTTGGTAGTGTTAAAGGTTGCGTCTTTGAACTGCCCACGGTGCTAGTCAATTGCATAATACTTAATAAGTTTTTTCCCCTAGGTATCACGAAAAAGTACAATGAGCCCCTGCGTTGCAAATACATGGTCACACATTTTCAACAAAAACAGTTCATCCAAGCACTTACACCGCTGATTACGATGTGTCAAACTCGTCTGGTAACCCCGTATGTCAACCGCGTCGGCTAGTTGCTAGTGCACCACAGGAGTTCGATTGCAATAAACCGTGATGTCTTTCAAAGGAATCATGTGAGCGTAAGTGCGCTATGATGAGCTATTTTTGTTTAAAAAACATGAGCATGTAATTTGCTTTTGCAGGGCTTATAGTTCTTTTTAGTGATACCTGGCGAGAAAACTCATTAAAATATTACGCAATACTAGCATCGCGAGCATACAAAGATGCAGTCACAATGTGTATTTTTTAGAATTGATATTTCTAATTAATTATTTCACCTTATTATAATCAGCATACAGGAACCCTTGCTCAAATCCATTGAATATAAGAAGGGGTATTATAAGCCTGAAAGTCTTGTGGGTACACATCTGCCGCACATTTGCGCAGACAAGCTGAAATAAAAGAACATTGTTTAAGTATGTTCGGGTATTATAAGCCTGAAAGTCTTGTGGGTACACATCTGCCGCACATTTGCGCAGACAAGCTGAAATAAAAGAACATTGTTTAAGTATGTTCGGGTATTATAAGCCTGAAAGTCTTGTGGGTACACATCTACCGCACATTTGCGCAGACAGGCTGAAAAAAACATTGTTTAAGTTAGATGTTCGGGTATAATAAGCCTGAAAGTCTTGTGGGTACACATCTGCCGCACATTTGCGCAGACAAGCTGAAAAAACATTGTTTAAGTTAGATGTTCGGGTATTATAAGCCTGAAAGTCTTGTGGGTACACATCTGCCGCACATTTGCGCAGACAAGCTGAAATAAAAGAACTGGTTAAGTTAGATGTTCGGGTACTATAAGCCTGAAAGTCTTGTGGGTACACATCTGCCGCACATTTGCGCAGACAAGCTGAAAAACATTGTTTAAGTTAGATGTTCGGGTATAATAAGCCTGAAAGTCTTGTGGGTACACATCTGCCGCACATTTGCGCAGACAAGCTGAAATAAAAGAACATTGTTTAAGTTAGTCGGGTATTATAAGCCTGAAAGTCTTGTGGGTACACATCTGCACATTTACACAGACAAGCTGAAATGAAAGAACTGGTTAAGTTAGTCTATAGTCTGGTGTGTTATCTGTCTACAAACATCTCTGCAAATAATATAAACTAACTGAAAATATGGAATAGTATCATTTATCCCCGGGGATAACCCGGCTAAGGTTAAATATTTTTGCTAAAAGCTAAAATAATAGAAAATAACGATGCCATTAGATTTGACACAATTGCCAAAATTATGACTGATGGATAATTCGTATGAATAGATTTACAGGGTGGCCAAAAATTCAACATTTTTATTTTGCAAAACAAACTTTTAAACACGCAATCGATCATGGAAAAATATTCCAGGAAATACAAAATAGAATATGACATGTTCATTTGAAAACGTCAATAAAAGACGTAGTGTGTTCGACTAAGAAAATAAAAAAAGTTAGGGGTGTTTATGCTTCACATCCTCGTGATTTGATCCCATGTTGTGTGTCTGAACGTAGACAACGAATTGCTTTATGTTTTGGAAGACACGTGGCATTATCTCTGCGCTCAATGTACGCTTCATCGTATACCAATGGCGTGACTAGAATAAACTAAATCATTTATCAATAGATAGGGAAGAATACTTAAGAGAACCCTTTTTGAGTTATACAAGTTTATGTAAATATATATATATTTTTTAATCATAAATGCTCTTTATTTCTTAAAATCATTAATAAATTTACATATTAATCAAGGCGTTATCGCCCAGAAAGGGCATTTCTACTGCTATTTCTACTGTACGTGAGCATGTAATATTTCGACCCCTGGGATTACTGTACGTATCAGTGTAAAGTTGATGCTTTTAAAAAATCCTCCCAATTCAGATACAATTGCAAAATTCTTATCGCCGTTAAGCTAAGGGTATTTATTCCATGTATTTATAACTAGTTGGGCATAGTCTGATCAAATTAATCTAATGTCTACGAAACCTCAATAAATGTGGGCGGCTTAATTGTAACAACAACCATTCATATTAACATCTGTTGATCCTGTTTAAAAACACTTTCAGGCATAAATGACAAATAATTTCAAGTTTTAAATCAAATTGATTGCTATTATATGTCGTTCACAAATTTAGAGTAGAAAATGACGTCATGTGGAAAGTGTTTTTTGCAGATACAAGATTTCCATTACACTGAAATGGTTAGCAGGCGTGGAAGTAACGTCTAATAATAAATCCCAAGGGTTATTGCATCAAAGCAAATTCTACGAATTGAAGTATATAGACGCCGTGCTGATGTGGGGGAGTAAGATATACTTACTATCATGGGACCAATAAAGTATAAGTGCCAAATTATGTTATTTCATTTATGTAGTGATGCGCAAAGAGATAATAGACTGAGGACATAATGCCAATCATCTTTTAAATATTCATTAGTACAGGGTAACCGGAAAAGGGAGACCGAAAATATTTTGAATAACTTCTTTGATAATTATGATCCTTTTTCAGTTTTGCGAATTATATTCATATATTCACATAGCTCAAATGTTGAAGACATGTCATCTTTCCTGCTTTAGTACCAAAACATCATATGGGTGCAGCAATAGTTCTGAAAAGGTCAAGAAAAGGTGTCAAGAAAAGTGGTAATATTCAAGTTGGGTAAAAAGTTAGGACTCATGGGACACTTGCCAGAAAAATATAATGTTTGTAAAATCCATCCAGATCGAAGGAGATCTAGAGCTGCAGACAAGATCGATGTTGTCTCAATGTCGTCAAAAGGATCGTTTTTGGCAGCCCTTGGTTGTCATAGGGGATTCCCCACACCCATACCGAGAATGATAGCAGCTAATTGGAGCATGTAATGCAAATGAAACTTTTAGGAACTCTCCATATTACTGTACTGGAGTGTGCAAAATTTAATATATGCCAGGAAATTTTGCCCATTTCAATGGTCTCCTTTTTTCCGCTCACCCTGTACATTTCGAAAAAATATATCTAATATAGAAGCCAACCTGAAAAATGACCACATGATATTAATATCGAAAACAGCTGGGGTATCCTAGTAAAAAGTTATACTTTAAATACTAGTAAATAATTTAGAAAATACCTATATAATAGACATGTCACGGGTGTAGCCAGGTATTAGGTAGAAGTAACCACAAAATCAATGATCTTTAATATTGTGTCCACTACTACTTTTCCCCCAGCCTATGAGGCAGAATGACATTTTCTAAATATAAAAATGTTATTTAATTCGGAAATGTTTTTCAACTGAAACTGCTCAAAAATCTCATGATAGCGACTAGCGGCTACCGGATTAACTTGCTATTTTATTGGCAACTCATTTAATTATGAATAGTAGTACTGTGCCTGTCACTATTCCATACATATTGAAATGAGTTGGTCATGAAATAGTAGGCTAATCCGGCAGCCGCAAGCCGTTAGTTACACTCGCGAATACAAGTTTTATCTTTCCTCAAAGTCGCCTCATCAAATCAAAATTGCCTCACATTTATTTAAAGATACTGGCTACGCCCTTGGATGTTTCCTCTTACTTCAATTGGCTTTCTTTCTATTTCGATCTTCGCACCAATTTTGTCCAGGCACAATAAGGCGAGTAGGAAACCTAGTAATGCTAGTGCGAGGAATACTCCCATTAGTTTCATCACAGTGATAGAGGCTGGTGTCATGGCTGAAATCATATGAAATCAAAGTATTAATTTGGCCTATGGTCCTATGTAATCACAGTAATAATTTGGTTTATGGTCCTATGAGCAGCTTAAACAGCAGCGTTAATATCTCCCAAAATCACAAAAGTAAATTGGCAAATGGTCCTTTCGAATCAAAATAGTAAATTGGCTTATGATCCTATAGAATCACAGTAATTTGAGCTTTGGTATTATAGAAAAAAATCACGAGAGTGCCTTGCCGTCCTATAGAATCACAGTAATATTGGATTTTGGTCCAATAGAATCACGGTTAATCTCAAGAAACACATTGAATCACAGAAAATTAACAATAAACGAGGTTGGAAATACCTTTATGAAGTAGTATGTAGTAATTTAGGATAGGACCATAAAATACCAGAATTTTGACAAATCACAGTGATTTAGACAGGGGTTATGGCTAGATGATAAAAACACTAGCTGAGGCTGGAGTGATAGAGACTGGGGTGAAGGACAAATTTACCCTTCATCAAGGAAAACGTTGAAAACAGAATTAAAACCTCGAAAGTACATCGTGTCATGAAGAAATAAACAAAACGCTTATATCGATTGCGCCATCGTTAATGTCTCCCAAAGCCTCTCTGTGTACAATGTAATTACTTGTAAAAGCAATATATTTTAGGCCCCTACATTGTGCATTGTGTATTGTGACCTTATTTCAACTTGTTTTTGTAGTCGTTAACATGACTGTACTTTCATATTTCTATCTAGTAAAATGATTGACCATTTGTGACCATTTGGGGTGACAATTTTAAAATTGGTTTTCTTTAACCATTAATCGATATACGTCTTTCCATCAAATATGAAAAATCGTCCTCTACCGTTTGAGTTATTTCCCGGACGGACGATGGGCTTCACTATATCCCGTCAAACGTCGTTCGTTGGGATAGGTTTTGAGTTGATCGATTCAGTCGGTGGTCAACACGGACAGAAGAAAATGTAATTTTACCTGTATGTGTTATATTCCACACACTTGGTATCGATCCATCACACTTGTCGTAGACGCCACAAGACAGTAAAAAACCATTATCAGGAACAGAACTATTTCTTCCAGGACTACTTGTCTTTTCATGGAGACCCCCTAGCATCACTGAAGAAATTAGATTTCCCCAAATATGGGTGGTTTGAAAACATGCAAGGAAGACGCCATTAAAACGGTATATTTTGTGCATTGGTACATCTTTCGAAACTTTTGCATAGCCAATTGCAAGTTTCTGGATGTATATAACCTGCGAGTTCCAGGCAAGGGACTGACCCAGTCCAACTCCAATGGAGGTCGGTATAAGAGTGTAATAATGCGGGTAAATGTTTGCAGTAATCCATAATAAGTAAAATATAAGTCCTAATACTATTGCCCATTTTGCAGTTATTCGGTTTATGACGATTGGCGCATATAAACACGTAAGAACCATAGTGAGATGGACAAACGTCATGGAAACTACTCCTAGTCGTCCTTGAGGGTTCAAACTTGACTGAAGATTCTGAATGGATCTAAATGCTGTAAAGACACACAAAAAGCTGACGCACAATATGATCAAATTCTTTCTATACTTAATTGTATTCAAGAAAGGAACACTTGTTGTCGTGTCATCTGATATAATAGTTTCATCTTCGATCGTCTCAACAGATTGTTGTGCAACAGGACCACTTCTCCTTGTTCCATGAGGGCTCGTTCCTTGGTGTCCATCAACACGGGGATATGGAGGCACAACTATGGATTCAACAATTTTACCATCTGGTGTAACACTCCGTACTGGAGTTTCAAATTTTACAGGAGGTTCATCATCGAATGCATCATCGATTGAGTTAAGATCAATCGTTGATTTATTATCACTCTCTTCATGTTCTTTAATGGTGTCCATTTCCAATTCATCAGACTTTCTTGTTGCGCGTCTGTAACTATCCTTTCTCTTTTTCCTCACCATACCCTCAATGAAATCAAACGATTTATCTATGGCGTCATTGTTTTCATGTTTTGCAGCATGTCTATAACTATCGTTTCGCCTGCCTTTGTTTTCCTGCGTTGCGAACAGATAACTTGGTCGCCTAGGTCTGTATAGGCTAAAATCGAAGCTCACGCCGCTGAGATCCCAAGGTGACAACGACATATTGTCACTTTGCGTAAGTCACCTATTTCAATTACTGATATTCCATAGTGTTACTTAGGATAGATTTTCTGTTAAACTGTCATATCCTCCTTGTAGAGCGCATTGGATTTGTACTCAGTTGCAGTGCAGTAATTTGCGATCGTCGATACTAAAACAGTAAAAAGTATGTTTTGTTTAAATGAATCTATCTCTTTGTGTCATACTATTATCTCAATTTCAACACTCTCACACATTTACATGTCTTGATGATCCATGGGTTCTATTGCAAATTCAATTATGTATTAGCATTTACACGAGGGTTCTAGGAACTGTTTTCAGCATTACACATGCAAATGAATCACATACGACAACGTCTGACTGTATATTGTATCGAATTGAGCCTAATAACGTTATACAAGGCCCCATACTTCGATATTAAATGGCGTCATAAAAGCCTTCTCAGTTCCTACACTTAGTTCGCCTGATGAGTACCGTGTAGTATTAGTACGAATCTCCTTGCAGCATTGTGATTATCTGCAAGTAGAAAACAAGAATTTGAGGCTATAAGAAGTAGATTCTTTGTTTTGCGTCCTGGTAAAATCCAAATCGTGCAAGGGTACAATGAAAACAAACACAAACTCAAGAAAAAACACAAACTTGTTTGCTGAGAAATGTATACATTTTAAGGGCATAAAAGGGGATGACATACCAATTTCTATGTATCTATACATTCTATACAATATATTTAAACATATAGCTATTATCCAAGGGTAAAGATAAGAAAATACACAATGTATGCCAAAGTAGTCAATAACACTGTCCATTTTGACGCACATCAAATTATCCGCCATTTTGTCTGATTCTGATTGAACGAAATGCGATGGTACTGTCAGACGTTTGTGATTGCTATTTGGATGTGTTTGTTTTTTCTGATTTACTCAAAATCGTGCAAGCAAGGGGACGCAAAACAAAGAATCTACTTCTTATGGCCAAATGAGAGTACGCCTAATTCATTTAATTTCATTTAATGTGTCCATCCACTTTGCTGTACGTTTGTCATCTAAATGAAACTGCAATTGCATTCGTTTTGGATAATTACATGCAATTTTGAACCATTTTTGTTATTTTTTTTATTTCTTCATCAGGGATAATTAAATGAATCTAAAGATGTTAGGTAAATAAGATTAATAGACGCGCAGTTTTATATTGAACATATCCCGCGGCCATCATTTCAAGGAATTTATTTGTTCATAATGTTTTTTTTACTAAAACTGATATGTATCAGAGAAATAACATGGTATAAACCTAAACTGTGATCATTGGCGGATCCAGGGGGCATGCCCCCCTCCTTGTCTTTTTTCGAAAATGGGCCTGAAAATAGGGGCCTAATTTGGGTTTCAGGGGCCCAACATTTTTTATTTACTGACTCAAAATTTGGGTCCACCCCTGTGTTAGCTCCTGGATCCGCCATTGGTGATGTATTGGTAAAATTTGGAACTAAATTGCAGTATTATACCCACTGTTTAATTAGAGAACGTTTGCACTAATGTACCCGTCCATACAATGATTGCACTAACATACTATAGATCAAACATTGCACTAATATACTCGCTTTCATACGCTTGAAAGGGTATCATCAGTGTATCAAACACTCGCGTAAATAATGTTCCCAAAGAAATTACATAAATTGCAACATGACTTGATGACTTGTCCTCCGCCGTTGAATATTAGCCTTGCGTGCATATTAGAAACCTTTAACTACGGAAGTGTATTTCTACCAAACATGTCAGTCTGATCACTTGGATTCAATCTATAGGAGAGATCTTTCACAAATGAACCGTCTGCTTATAATACAATTCAGTCCATACTGATAATTATACCATGGTCAGAGCAATATCGTCAAGTACATATATAATATAAAAGCAAGTGATAAATCACATATATGGGACAAGGGTGATATCGGGATTAGAGGGATGATATCAGTGATGACCCTGATATATATATCATCCCGGGTGTATTAAAACATTACATTTTTCAAAAATTTTAATTTTTCAAAATTTTTAATTTCTCCAAAATTTTTAATTTCTCCAAAATTTTTCATTTTTTCAAAAGAAAACATTTTTTGTAAAAGGATCTGTATCTCTATGGTGAACTGAATTGAACACATGTTTCTGTTTCTTTTGAATGGTGAAACTTTAATTTGAAAAAATAAATACTTTTCTATATATAGTTTTATTTAAAAAACACATCAGAAAGTTCTTTTGTTCTTGGTATCATATGTTCGGAATGAAATGGAACATCTCTCCGACCTTCATTGGAACCAACTGATCATATACACAACGTTTTTAGGTCTCTCAATATTGTAATTATACAAAGGAAAGTTTGATTCATTCAAAATTAGTATCTTGTTAAAGAAACAAAAGGTAAACGTTCCCCTTTGATAAACATACTTTGGTATTACTGTATGCACTTGTCCCATCATCAGCAATGTGCCTGGTTTTCTTGTTATTACATTGTTAATTCTCTACCTGGTGACCCTATCAAAGTGGTGTGGGACAAGTGTGTGCTTCTCAAGCTAAATACTTCTATTAGTAGTGTCTATTTTGTTTTCCAGTATTTATTTTGGATTTTTTTATCATATATGTAGTTTTCGCATTAAATTGTTGTCAACCAGTGGCCATTTACATAAAGGATCGTTTTTACAAAATGTTTTCAATAATGGGATTTTCAGAGAAAAACAATGTTAAATGCAGTTCAACATATCTATACTAGTCCTTTTTTGCAGTTTTTATAAATTTCTCATAAGATGGCAAATTGAATAATGGGTAGAACATTGTATTCGAAATCTAAAGTTTTTGAACTTTCTGAGGTGGGGAAAATTCAATAAATTTATGGAAAATAATGGAGTATGGTCATTTGCTGATTCACGTCTTAAAATAAACCTACTGTGAAATTGGAGTGGGAAATCACAAAGGGCAATATCTGAACCAAGACCACAAATCTTTCATTACTACGAATAAATTTCATAATCCCCAACGTCAACCTAATTCACTTTGTTATTTTACTTTCAACGAGCTACATTACATACTAAGATCATTTCATATGTTATTCTCAACATGGCCTTTCCTGTTATTCTGTAATGAACGAGACAGCTTGAGGCTATTAAATAAATCCCTAGACGTTACATCTGATATATACTTGATCAAATTATCTGTCATTATGGGTCGATATAAAGGCAGAGGTGAAGTTCTATGTCCGATAAACAACCTGCGCCAAGCTATCAAATTGTCAATATATTGTAGCCTTGAACCTCACTAAAAAGCCTAAAGGACTCCGTCAGTTGGGACCGAGGCCTCGGGTGTATAAACGTAGACAGCCATGACCAATTAACTGGAAGCATGGGAAAGCCCATGCTTGAAGTAAGCAAGTACCGCTTTCCAGAAGACTGTACCAAAATGAAACGGAATGACATTTTTCTCTATCGAAAAAAAGCTGAACATTTTATATAATTAAGAGAATTGGCAGTTAGCAGTTAAAAATCCATGGAGAGTAGAGTTGGAAATTTAGATGGTATGCTCTAAATGACATCCATCGTTACGATCGATGCAGATGGTATTTTCGTCCACACTGATCTCTTAATTGCTAGACGGGTCAAAACGCCCCCATTCGATTTATATATCATCTCAGTTTATTTTGGGTAAGATTCTTCATGTTTCGTTCACAAAAGAGTATGACATTTGGTTTTATTGAGTTTTATCACTGGATCACACGGCATTCGTGTCATCTTGAGTATCTTAAAAAGGGTCAAGTACTATTTACAATATAATGGCGATTTATATGCAGATTTTGGTGGATGAAATATTAAATGGATGCAAATGCAACTCAACTATGTTTACACAAGAAAATGTAATAAGCAACGCAAGAAAGATTAGGATTTGTTTTGAATTTTACAAAAATTGATGTATAACTTCCTTCAAAATTGATCTAGAAGCTTCAAATAAAAAACATTTCAAAGCTCTTTTCCTCCTCTATCTAATAGTTATATTTTTAAAACCATTAGATATTTAGTCATGGGGGGTGCGCTATGCTATTATGAATAGTAAAGAATTGAAAAATGTAGGGAGCTCATACGTCCTGAACTCACGACCTCATGGTAAGGTTGAGGCGACAGCGCCTAGCTTAGCGTATTCAGTGCTCTAGATCGCTCCTAGAACAATTTGACGAATAATCGTAAATCTCTATTTTATCTCTAGATTTTAGCTTAATCCAATATTCTAGTCGTACCTACTGTATTCGGGAAAAGAACAAGCATATACACATGTATCTACATTAATGAGATTAATTGTACAAAGGGAATCCTCAAATTTATAACAGCCATATACGAGCGAATGCATTGAATATCAGCTGTGAATATACTAGAGTTACATGTACGTATGACTATTATCCCACTCTGGGTACTTATTTTTATATCATACAGAGTGGTTGTAAATCTATCCTCACTATTTACCCTAAACAATTTTTCAATATTGTTGAAACTCAAGTGTTATTCATTGGTAATAACAATTCAGTGGTATAGTCTGGCAATTTTTTGTCAAATTTTCTTCAAATTTTCTCAAATGTTCAATGGGCCGAAATTTTCATTTACATATTACATTTTCCTCTTCCTCAAAATATTAATATAATTTTTATTTCGATATTAAGTTTATATCACGTTTCATTCTACATATCATGTTTTGATACCCTCGATATACACAATGAGCCTCTAATATATATATACATCCTAATTTTATAATGTTTGTTTGACATAGACACAGTCAATATTACAGTCAAAACCAGCAATACATCCAGCTGCGCTGATCCTCAAGAGAAATTAAGAAATATATAACAGGAAATTACTGCAAGCACAGCCTGAATAACAAAAACTGACCCTTTCAAAAAGTCTCAAACTGGCCGTGCATGAACTCGTTACTAAGGCAACAATATGGTTTTACGGTCTTAATTACAGGTAGTGTTTTGATTGG